CCCGCGATCGATCGTCACAAGTGGTTAACTCGAGCCCTCGGCAAATAACGGTGCAGGCAATGTGAATTGCGGAGATCGGACACGTCGACTCTCCGAATTGCGAAGCTGGTGCGCGCAGGAGTGCGAATTGTGCAGAAGGTCACCCTAAGGCTCGGGAAGGTCCTATAGGAATCCATTTTGGGTTTCCTCATGTCGGTTTCATCCTTCTAAGTGTTAGAAGTCGATACCGCACACGCGAAACTCCAAAAGAGGACGGAAATAGGTTGAACTAAAACGAGGCGGGCACCACTTCTAAGGTTCTAAGATAGTCGCAGGAAGACCCCTAAGGCTAGATCCTAACTCCTACGAGGAATACTAGACCTCACGAAAATTGAGGTCAACAAGCAACACAGAAATAAAATTCCCCTACCAAATGAATTAGATGAACGTTGCTCCCTCATGTAGCAGTAGAATAGATTTATCACAAGCAAAAAGAAATCGTTTGCAATCCCATGAACTAGGAGAAATGTATTGTTTCTATTTTACTCATAGCACTCTCATGGTGCATCTAGTGGCTACATATGGCTGTCAGTTTTGGGCTGATTTAGTAAAAAGCGTCTTTTTGTGTAATTTATGTCATAATGTTGTTTTTCCTTTCTAGCTACAATAAGATTTTTTTATTCCTATTTCTACTCGATGTAAAACCCAATAAATGAAGCCATATACTAGCCTAATAATCATAACAAAGTATTTCTTAATTCTTCTCCTCTATTCCTTTCTCTCCTTCTAAACAATCTCTGAGACAAGTTCTGTCTAAGCTATGGTCGACAATTATAAAAAGGCCCTATACAGGTCTATCAAAGAAGAACAGAAGATATTCTTCCATCCGACTTAGCAAGCTATAACTTCATTCCGAGAGTCTCTACAGAGCGCTTAACTTTACAAAATACTTGCTACAAAGTGGGAAGAACTTCTTTCAGTGGTTTCACTCCGTCCAAATGGTGGATTGAGAAGAGGTGTAATTGGATACCAAAATAGTACCATCTATAAACCGGAAATGAATGACCCATTCTTTCCATCATTGGACAACAATAATGCCTTGGTAAGGTCCTCGCCAATCAATTCTATAGAAGAACAAATGGATTTCTATGGTTGATTTACAATGCTACACAATAAATTTGGGAAAATGACAACGTGGAATATTTCAGCCTTTAAAACAATGCTCGATCATGTAAATTACAAGAGCAATCTTATGACTTCAAACAAGAATGCATGAGTATGATTCAATAAATGTCTCACACACATAGATTTCACAAGAACCGGATTGCTTCAAACAAAACAATTAGTGCAGCAAGTGTGTGGATAAATATATCAATATCATGTTCATGGAAAAACTAGAGCATATGACTTTCTTAAAAGTCTCAAAAAAGATATTGAAAAACTCATGATGGAATCCACAAAATTCATCCATTTTCTAAAAATTGATGAAGGATAAACTGATGTTCAAATAGAATAAAGTAGAAAAATGATTATGCTTGGAGGTACCAAAAACAATCACATAGCTGAAGAATAGGCTCTTGCCATCGAGAGTATGAAACAAAATCCAGGACATGAGTCAAGGTGTAGAAAATGTGTAAAATCTTTGGGATGAGGTCGATAAAAATACAAATCACTCACCAGAAAATTAAAATAAACATCACAGCATAGCAGTCAATTAAGTCAACACAAGGAAACAACGTAAAAATAACAAGGCTTATTAAACAAAAAGCGAGGATACAAATAACTTAGTAAATCCGGCAATTGATTCATAAACAAAGAGCAATTACATCTCCTATAACAGTTGCACGGTTTGGAGACAACGGTTGGCTCCTCCCTTTTAAACCTAAAAAATTATTTTTTTCTCGTGCTCTTAAGTATACAGAGGGAGGCCAAAATCCAGGATCATTAACTCAAGAAATTTAGAACACAAGATAAGTTGTGTTTACTGTTGTGTATAAGGAACCAAAGCACTCCAAGATCCCAGTGCCTAAGTGCCCATCTTTGGGAGCTTAAGCACCCATCTTTGGGCGCTAACAGAGCCCATATTTTCGGTGCAGACAAAAGAGTCCGTGCTTAAGCGCCGCCCTTGGGTGCTTAAGTGCCCGATTTGCTACACGAGAGCTTGGTGCTTAGGCGCCTAGCGATTTATGCTTTTCTTTCTAACGATTTTATTTAATTAAAAAATTATAGGTATGGAAATTTTTTTAAGGTGAGGACGTAAAAGTTAGTGATGAGACAATTCTGGATTTTTGTATTAACTCATGTTGATTGCTTAAAAACTTGAATGCTTTGAAGCAATGATAACAGTTGTAAATATGTTCAGATTAAGTTAAATTTAAATTAAGAATGTATTAAAATTTAATGAAATAGCTTATTGATGGAATGTTTTTGTAAGACGGCAAGCTCGGAACTCGCCCAGAGAAACTCATCACAACATTGACCCGACAACTGAGGTGAGATTTATAATTGCTATAGTAAGAAGCAAATTTCTATAGGTCTAATGTTTGCTACTGTTTGTCTATAAATTTCTTTGTTATACATGTGCATTTAAAGTTTAGAAAGGTGTTGAATAAATTCTATGCCAGTAATATATCTTCTCCTCTAAAGCTGCGGCAATTAAGGACTCTCGTGTGCGACGAAAATTAATATTGGCATTTGGCAAGGGAGCTATGGCAATTCAATCATGGGTGGATTTCAAACAAAGGTGGCATGCCCAACTTGGCAAGTTGGACTGCAGTGGTAATGGATAGAGCATTTATGAACTTGGAGCCACGTACTGCTACCATTTTACTCCCCTTGAATTGCTGAAATGGAATTCTCACCGCACCTGGAATGATTCCTTATGGTTGGTGGTTTGGGACTGATCTAATAGGAGGCTTTTTTTTATGTGTGATTGCTACCATGATGTTGGTTTTCCTAAGCGGCTAAGATAGGACTTCTTTCTTCTTACTTCTATTCATTGTAAAACCATATAACAAGAGCCCTATTCTAGCCAAATAATTACTACAAAGTATTCCTCCATTCGTCTTCCCTCTTTCTCTTCTACTCTCTTTTTCTTAACAATTACATCAACGTGAATCTTCCTTGCAATTTCAAGGTTCCACTTCTTACCAATATTCTAAACGCCATAAAGCAACTTGATTATGTTATAGCAGTAATACTATTAATGCTAAAAGTCCCAAACTATAAGCTAGCATGCTTGTCCATTTAGTACCGCACTATGAACTTTGCACAAGACAAATATGTAAGATGACGACATAATAATATGCATTTGCGCAACATGTCGAACGGAACAGCCATCATGAATTGGCCATACAAAGCAATATACTAATTATAAACTCCAAGTCAATCGTTTTTAAGATAGGTAGCCAGACCATAAATACAGTCATGAAAAAAGGTAAATAAGATTTACTCGGGATCGAAGTATATTTTCATTAATCAAATATTCTGCACAAATATATACAAGAAAATAGTACTAAATATTGAAGGATACGTGCCTTTTAACTCTATTGGAAGACCATGGCAATCCCAACCTGGAATAAATTGGACTTTATAATTTTGAAGAAGCTGCACGAGACACAAGTATAAGTTAGCCAATGACACCATCAGAAACACATAAAAATCGCCAACATCAAATGAGCCAAATTATGGTAGCATTGACAAAGATATATATATAGCAAAATAAGAGGAAATAAATAAAAGCTAGAAACAAAGTCGATGCCACGTCTCATATGAAGAATAAAAGGAGAGGACCAAAAGTGCAATGGCAAGATCACATTCAATAGTTAACAGCTTGTGCAGTGTAGATTTTACTCTTCATCGTCATTTAATGTTCTAGCAACATCTTTACATTATGAAGCTGCAGAAGCTCCAAAGAATTTATAATTTCCAAATTTAAAGCTTATAACAACAATTTAAACTTTTCATGGCTTGTAATTCAAGTTAATTTAGTTTTCAATTTTCTGACAACTATCTATTCTAGATCTATTCTCCCTTATATTTTCACAGCTAAGATATAAAATTCCAATGAGCTTTCCCTTTGATTATGACAGTGTCAGAACTTCTTCTTCAGCTTCCTGTTAAAAGAAAGGCCTTCTACTTGCACTAGCAGTTTAAGTTAGAAATTTTATGTAATTCAATGAAAAAATAATCTTCAATATGCAGATCAGTGTAAGCCCTCGTAATAAGCACCCTAAACACAAGCAAGATCAGCTGAATCTTGGAGCACTAACATATAGATGTAACAGACTCACAATTTGTGGCAATGTGAAGTAAGAATCACCTTATAACGATTTATAATATCCTTCAAAATCTTGTTCAGAGCGTGTCCCATGTGCAACTTTCCATTAGCATATGGCGGCCCGTCATGTAGAATGAAAGTTTCCTGTCAAATATAATCAAACAAAAACTCAAACATCTGCTCCCAAAATGCTCCATCAAATTTTAAGAAACCGTTTTGAATCACTTCTGATTTTTTTTTTTCTGTTTATACTTATATTTTGTTTATGTTTTTACTTGAAATGGAACATGTTGGCATGTTATAGCATGTTTAGTTATTTTTTAAGACGATCAAAACAACTTTAGATGCTTTGAGTATTTTTAAAAACAAGCTAATTTATTTTTTAAAACAAAAAATAAAAACAAGCAAAAAATGCACTAACAAAAAATGCACTAAACAAAACAAACATGTTTTTAAGATAAAGAGAAAAATAAAAAGAAAAGCAAAAGCAAAAGATAAAAATGATGTCAAACAAACCCTAAGCAAAGAGACAGATTACTAATAATTATCAAAGAGAAACAAAACATACCCCTGTATTCTTCTCAGCGACCCGTTTGAAGACATCATTGTCCTCCCAAAATTTTTGAATCTCAGGCTCCCTTACTATCGAATTTGCCCGCATTCCAAAAGTGGTCTTTGGAAGATCAATGGTGTGCTTGTACATCTCCGAATCTTGCTTTGATCCTTTAAGTGGAAACCAAGAAATGGCAATATTTAAGTATAATATTTATCGGAATAATTAATCGTAATATATACCAAAATCTGAATGTATACCTTTAGATGACTTTTTCGCTGATATCACCGGTCCATGAGCCCTCTGCTTCAACCCAAAAGGGAAAAACTCTCTAAACTCAGTATGGTAAAGTCCAAAGGGTAAAAAAAGGCTCAAAGAAGAAGTTTTGTTGAAGGATAATTGATTCCTTCGAGATAATGCCTGGAAATCCAAAAACTAAGTTAAAAAATGAGTAGTTTAATCACCATTACTATAGCTGGCTAAAGAGAACTGTTTGAATTACTTAATTAACGGTCAAATAATGTTGAAAAAGAATATATAAGACTACAAAATAATAGCATGTGACTCATTTAGTTTTACCATAGCTCAAAGCAAATAAGGATGCAATATAAATGGTTAGATGATGATAAGACTATAATTATGGTCTAAATCAAACTACTAATATATTTGGAGGCCTTATGGCCAATTAGAGGTGAAATAAGTATGTAGATGAATGTAACACTTGTATATTTATTCAGTAGGTATATGGTCATATAAATTATTAAATAATCAGCTATGTAAATTACTCCAAATTGTGCTGATTTACTGTTATTACTACATAATTTTCCTGACCATGAATCCTCATTTTTCCCATTATTATGATTAAATATTTGTCGATTTATTTATTTAAATTCATTGAGCATTTAGCTAAAATGCCCTCCATTTTTCCTACAGCTATCACAAAACTCCTAAAGTTTCTTATTTTTTATTTCACCCTCAAACGCATGTCATGCATGCAAGTGGAAAAAAGGTTGGGGGAAAACTAGGAAGGACTGAAGAAATGAAGATGAGATGGAGCTTCATTTCTGGTGAAACTTTCAATTTAAAGAGATAGTGCGAGAGGAAGATAAGGAGAAGAAGATACTTAAAGAAAGAATTCATAAAGAAGAAATTCAAAGTTTTCATCGGAAATCGATCGTTGTCTAGGTAGACACCTTAACCCTAACCTAAGAGGCAAATTTACATTTTTTTTATTGCATATTTTGTTGATTTTGATAATTTGAGTCCCTTTTATTTGATGTAATAAAATATGGATATGAAAATGATGTGATTAAATATGGATATGAATATGATGTAATTAGAAATGAACATAAGATGTTCCTCACGTTGAGATACACTTGATTATTTGGCTTATATAATGATTTTTGCTCTAAACAAAAAGGCAGATTTATATTTTGTTTTTTTATTGTATGTTTTGGATGTTCTGATAATTTAAGTCCCATTTGTTTCATGTAATTAACAATGGATATGAATATGATGATCCTCATGCTGAGACACTTGATTCTAGAATTATAAAATGATTTTCAGTTATTCCTCTTTGATTTTAATTTTGAGATGGACCTTTTATGACTTGTCTGTGGTCTATTATATAAATTTTCTATGTTATAATATATTTGATACTCCTTGTGAAAGGCTGTATAGTAATAATCTTTTATAAAATGAAATCATTATATTTATGCAATGTACTTATAATTTAATTGAGGAGAGAGCTAGAGAACAAATTGAAAAAATTTATATAGATTGTAAGAGAAAAAAGGTTGATGAGATATTAGAATCAGTGCATAGATGAAGACTGGGTTCAAAAACACAAGTTTCCAAATAAAGTAGTCAACCAGCATTTATAAAGGTATCATATGAACTTTATAGCAGGTCAAAAACACCAGGACAACAACAGTTGTGCAGCTATGATTTGAAAGATGATGTGCATCCTATGTGAGGGAACATGTTATAGTGTGATCCTTATAGCCAATGAAATAATGTAAATGATTTCATATGTCATATTCTCGAGTAATTTATTGATCCTATTACTATAATTATAAATATTATGCACCAACATGTGATTTCATGATAGGGGCATGGTATTAAGATTTAGATTGGTATGATGAAGATATTATATAGCACCAATACCAATACGGACTACATAATCGATGATAAATTCATATGTCTATGATTGACATAAGTCCTTGTGGATGATGTATGGTACATTTCTTTTCTTATTATCTGATAATGAAAAAAAAAAGCAATTTTTGTTTCCTAGTAAAGTCCACAGTTGCATATCAATTACGTTAGAACCAAACATACAGTATGTAGTTGTAAGAAAAATGCAGCATTTTCTCCAATTCCATCAATTCACGCATACACTGACAATGGAAAATAGTGGTTTGAGTGAGTGATTAAGCATTGGCTTCGCTCTTTGTTGCCTAGCCACCACAGATCAACTCGTTTGTTTATTCAATAATAAAACATGACATCAACAAAAAAAAACTATTTTTTATCGTTTCTTCTCTTTCAACTCCCAATCAGGAAAAAAAAATTTTCCGCATTTCCCTCATAAAACTAACAGCAAAGGTTAAAAAAATGATCTAAGTTATATTTCTTCTTCCTTTTATAACCACCCAATTCTTTGCTTTCTTCCCTAAACCACAACGAGACTGTAAAAAAACAAGAACTTTTTGGTTTGTTCAAAAAAATAGAACAAATGAAAGTTGGAAGCATGGGAAAGCTCCTGTCTTCAGTGGGTCCCAAGCAGAAGCACACTGAGGGGGAGAATCACCGAAGAAAGGGAAGCGAGGATGCGGTAGATAAATATCAGAAACAGAGTGAGGTAGTAGCTGACCGATGGGCGAACGCGGGGTGATAACGATGAGAAGAAAGGAGGGACGGCGACGACCATTAGCAAAAAATGGTATAGGCAGCTGCCGCGAAAGAAAAAAGCCTTCGTGTTTGTGAAGGCGTAAAAGGTTTTTCCGAGTACTTATTGACGCGGTGCCGGGGCGGCGTCAGGGGGTCGCAGGGAGGTAAGCAGAATATGAGTGGATGGGAAGGACGGGAGGATAGGGAATTTAGGGCGGGACTTGTGTTTGCCCGCGACTTGTGTTTGCCCTTCTTAGAGGTTTTTTGTTTATGCGACTGGGAAGCGCAATATTGCCAAAGGAGCCGACAGGAGCGGACCCCGGCTCAGTCTATATTTCGAGTTTAAAAGTATTTTGTGTTCGTCTCATTTATTTCTATTTATGAATAAAGACTCATTTTAATAATTTTAATCATATAGTTACAAGATATTAAGATATTAAGGGTTGGGATAAGATTTAAAAATTATTGTTTATATTAAAATATTATTTGAATTTAATTTAATAATTTTATTTTATTTTCTGAATTAATACTTTTAATAGATTATAATTCTTTGTAGCCTTGTAGTCAGTTAAATTTTTAAAAATACTGCCCATTAATATATATATCATGTAGTCAATTAAAATTTTTCAAAATACTACTCATCAAATATATATGTATATATAATTGATGATGAGTATTTTGAGTCAAAATGAGCCGAACACGAACGAACAAATCTTGGTTCGTGTTCGGCTCATTAACTTAGCGAACGAGTCAAACACGAGCTTCTTAACGAGCCGAACACAAGTTATTTGCGAACAACGAGCCGTTTTAACAGCCCTAATCTTAGCACACTTTACTATTGTCAATTCTTCTTTTACAATAAAAAATAATACTTAAATTATGATTTTTTACTTTGATGAATTTTGTTAAAACCGATGCTATTAAAAATTAATTTAATAAAATTATTCTATTTAAAAAATTATAAAGAACATATTCGACTTTGTAAATTTTGATTTCAGGTAAAATTTTTTTTTTCTTGCCTCACTTCCGATAAATGTATGATGGTATATGCATTTAAGGGTTCAAAAAATAAAAAATAAGGAAAAAATGGGCCCCCACACATCGATCAAATTCAGAAATTTAAAAAACTGCAAAGACAGGAGAGGATGGGTGGTTTGTTACTAGTGGGAAGTTGATGAGTAGCACCTCTAATTTATTTGAATTTTAGGGTCCGTTTGGGACAGCTTGTGCGTTTCAGGATAAGCTGAGTAGCACCTCTAATTTATTTGAATTTTAGGGTCCGTTTGGGACAGCTTGTGCGTTTCAGGATAAGCTGAGTAGCACCTCTAATTTATTTGAATTTTAGGGTCCGTTTGGGACAGCTTGTGCGTTTCAGGATAAGCAGGATAAGCTGCTTATCCTGAAACGCGGTTCGCGGGCTGGCCGAAGGGGTCTACCCGCGGGGTGCGTTTCTTATCCTGAAACGCGGTTCGCGGGCTGGCCGAAGGGGTCTACCCGCGGGTTGCGTTTAGTGTACCAAACGCAGTTTCGGATAAGCTGACGAAACGCGCGAATCAAACGGTACGGCGGCGTTTTGAAAACCCTGCCCGCACTTATAAGCTGCCGCAAACAGACCCTTAAGCTCTTATGTGTCAGGATCTCTCAACTTTTTTGTTGAAAAGAAATAAGATATAATGAATATTTTTCTCTTCTTTTGTATTTATTAAAGTAGTATTTCTTTCTTGCTTTATGAAAATGGTTTATTAATTTTGTAATTTTATTATTAGTGAGAATAATAATAATAATATGACTATATTGAATAATTAAAATAATAATAATTTTGATTATAATCATGACACTACAGGAGGAGAAGGAATTAGCGTATGATATTTGTGTTAGATACTTTTGATGCAAATGTTAGAGTCAGATTAGCATTAGATAAGCGGCGAAAAATAAATTATGATATTTGCGTCGGAATATGCAACAGATTTATGTAGAAAAATTCGTTGATATAAGCCTTCCGGAAAAAGTGAAAATTATCTTTGGATTTGCCACTGAGTTTGTGTTGAATTTACGTCATAAATACTTTATCCTTAATACGGTTGAACGGGTCCAGCGCAAATTTGACGGAACTCTGACACAAATGACATAATTTACTCATCATGCACGCCTAAATTTCATTTTCTCTTTGTTCATCATGAAAAGCTCGCGTGCAACTTTTCTTCTCCCCTTCCCTCTCCCTTTTCCCTCTCCCTCAAGGGTTTGCCCAAGTCCTCGCAATACAATCGCCATTAGAGCTAGCTATGAAGGTAACGTACGTGGCCTACGTACAAAGACCGCTGAAGCTCCCATAGTGCTCTTCCTCCTACTCTGCTTCAACCATAATCCATTGAGGAAGGTATGTATCCTACTTTAACTATGTATATACCTAATTTAGGGTAAGTAAATTTAGGATTGACTTTAAATTTAAGTTTCTAGCTAATTTTTTCTTAGTTATGAATGTTCTTATCGGACATTTACAAGAGGATCTACCTTGGTGTATGTTTTTTTCTAATGATATCGTTCTTGTGGATAACACTAGAGTGTTCATGCAAAACTTGAATTATGAAGGGTAAACATAGAGCTAAAGCCTTTCGTTTGAGTAGATCTAAAACTAAATAAATAAAATGTAATTTTAGTGTTAGCGAATCTAATAGTGGGGTTATAGTAATGGATGAGATAAAGTCATCAAAAGGAATGAACATTTCAGATGTGTCAGGTCTAATGTTGAAAACGGTCGTGATATAGATGGGGATGTTATTAGTAAAATTCAAGTTAGGTGGTTAAAGTGAATGAATGCATAAGACTTATTGTGTGATAGAAAAGTAACACAGACTATAACATAAATTTTATAAGATGGCGGTAAGGCCTAAAATGCTTTGTGGTGCAGAAAGTTAGCTTATAAAAGAAGCATAAAAGTAAGTTTAGACTTATGTTAAGGTGGATAATTGGCTTTACACTTAGAGACAAATTTTGAAATGAATATATCAATGAAACAGCTGGAGTAGCTCCATTGGCATTCAAGATCGAAGTGTGACGCCTTAGATGGTTCGGTCACATCAAATGTTGGCTAACTACCCCATTAGGAGTGTAGATGTCTCTGATTTGACTTATTTTTTAGAATGTAGAGGTAATCCTAAAAAGATTTGTGTATGTTGCATTAAAATGTTCCTAATATAGTAAAATAATGAAAGTGTGGCATTCAATGGGACACAATGGAGAAAAATGATCAATTAGCCAACCCCACTTAAATTTTCATACTCCTAAACTTAAATTTTAATATTTATATCACTCATATCTTTCATTTTTATTTTGTGTAATAGTTTAATTGATCTATGAAGTTATATTTATGCTGCAGATGGATATTCATAATTTGAAAACTTATCAGTATAACAGATTATATTCAGGAAAAAAATGACTCATTAATGAGTTCTTGAATGATGTTTATGAATTTGTGTAGGTGGTATCACAACTACCCATATATCTTTTGGAGAGTATGTTTCAGTGTCCTTGTGCGAAGCAAAAAAATCAAATGTTCCTGCCACCCGAAAATGTTAGGTTGGATCTTTACCGCAGAGGATTCAAACCAATTTTTTTCTATTGAACTCCACATGGAGAACTTGAACAAGAAGTTCGATTCGAATGATGGTTGCCTCGACAAGTTATGCCCCTCATGCAGAGGAATTTGATTGTAGCACATATGAGGAAATGGTTCATGATCCTCAAAGAGTTTAATTTGTTGAGAGTGTTCAACACGAATCTGAAACACCGAACAATGAATCACAATGGTTTTATGACTTACTGAGTATTGCACTACAATCTTTATGGGATGGTTGCATAACACATAACACATACAAAATTATCAGTGGCGTTAAGAATGTTGACCATCAAATTTAATTTTAACATGCCCATAGAACCATTTAATTGGGCAACAACATTATTAAAAGATATGAACCCTTCAGGGAATTTAATGTTGGATAATCTGTACAAAACTACTAAGTTGGTTTCAAAGTTAGGGTTATAATGTCAGAAGATCGATTTTTGTGTTAATTGCTACATTACAAGATTGATGCATTTGATTTGACCTACCATTTTTGTGGTGCAGATAGATTCAAACAAAGAGGGGTGAAAGAGTAAAAATAAAAAAAAATACTTAATATAATCGTTTCTTTTATTTTTCGCTCATACCCCGACTTTAGAGATTGTTCGCTTTCATGTGTACAGCCCCTCACATGACTTGACACGGCATTGGATCCATTGATGCTAACTCGATGAGTCATGTTGCAAACTCGTACTCATGTTGGCTAGAGATCATTACGTCGTACAATTTGACCCCTAATATGTGCATAATTATGTCGTTTTTATTTCTAAAGTTGATCATACTAGGTCAATATAGCACATTGGACCCATTGATGCTAACTCGATGAGTCATGTTGCAAACCCGTACTCATGTTGGCTAGCGATCATTACGTCGTACAATTTGACCCCTGATATGTGCATAATTATGTCGTTCTTATTTCTAAAGTTGATCATACTAGGTCAATATAGCCTAAAGGGCAAAATTAACGTCAGCATACAACCTTGATCGAAGAGCTTCAAATATTATGGGAGATGAGTTTGCTTACCTATGACATCGCTATAAAAGAGAACTTTTAACTGTGAGCGGCTCTTATGTGTATAATTAATGATTTCCCAACCTAAGGGATGTTAGCTGATTAGAGCAAAGCCAAGAAATTAGCTTATCCTTGCTGCATGGATATGTTGAAGGCATTTACTTTAAAACATATTAGGAAAAACAACTCGTTAGACTACCACCAAAGGTTTCTTCGTCGTGATCACTCATTTAGAAGGAATAGAGATGCATTTCTCAAAAACAATGTTGAGAGATCAATTTCACCCCCTAGCATTATTGGAGTTAAAATATTGTAGATGATTAGTGAAGTATCAAAGGTCACTGAGAGACCAGAGTTAGCTTCAACTCATTTTACTGATTTTGGCGTCACGCACAACTAGGCTAAGTACAATATTTTTTGGGAACTTCCATTCTAAAAGGCTAATCTTACTAGACATAATCTTATTGTTATACACATTGAGAGGAACTTTTTTGACAACATTTTCAATACTAAGATAGATATCAAGGGTATGATAAAATATAGTGTGAAAAATAGAATGAATCTGAAAGGGTGTTGCAAAAGGAGGACTTTAGAGCTTCAAGAGA